GTTAATGATTTGATAAACTCTGACTTGGCCCAGATAAGGTAGAACTCAATGACAGTGTAGGGGGAAAAAAAAACAGCTCCAGTATGTTCTACTTGCAAGAGAAAGTTTTTTAATGTTAAAAGCACTGACTCTTCCAAACAGTTTCTTTTGGAGGAGCCTTCTTTTGTTACAGTTTTTTGTTTGTTCATTCCCACAAACGAGGTGGAGCTTGCTTTAAACTTAATGAAAAGACTTGCTGTTTTTCTCTTGGTGCACAGAATAGTCTGTCTGCGTACATAGCAGCTGAGGGGTGTGCCAGCTGACAAAGGTGTGCAAGGTATTAACATCTTAAGTGCTCTTCTAAGCCCCAATCAAACTGGCCAGGTAATGAGTGTACAGTGGGATCTGGAGAGCATTGCCAGCCTCTGTGGTTGATCAGCTCAGGTGGAAAGCATGCGGGGCAGGGGAGTGCTTCTTTAGTAGTTAGCGTCCTTGGAGGTCTGTGCTATTTCTGGAGCATAAGACAAGGAATCTTTCAAGGAAAAAAAAAAAGTTACATTATGTAGTGTTTCCTTTAAAGAGTAGGTCTAAAAGGAAGAGGAGTACCATCATATGGTTTTACTTTAAACTCTTTTATTATTGGAACAGCTATGGCTTTACATATACACAAAAAATCTTGGGGTTATTTTGGGTGAGGAGCAGAGGTGTTGAATATGAGACTATTACTTGTGTATTGACATCACAAAACCTGTTCGATATACTATGGGACCTTACACATCCAGAATATAATAAGGAAGCTGATTTTTTAACGGAGGCCACTGTTCTTGAAATATCCAGGACTGCTTGATCCTAGGCAACCTTAGTCGCACCCATGGCCAGGAACAGGGAATAGTGCATCAAACCAAGCTATTTGCTGGGATTCCTGGGGTATGTGAGTTGTGCGACATCCTCTCATATGAGGGCATCTGGGGGTAGAAGCAGAACAGAACCCAACAGCTAGAAAAATGTCTTACTATGTTGAGGCTGGCTGGATGCTGGATTTGCGAGAATATTGTAAAAGATGGAGTGCTCTTAAGAAAGCTGTGTTTTCCCCATTAGCTTCCATGGACCCCAGGCACCTGATGATTTTTGGTACATCTTGTCCTGTCCCAAGTTCAAGGGCATTATCAGCCAGGAACGCTGCCTGCTCCCTGCTGCTCCCCTCCTGTTGATCTGACCGCAGTGGTGGCCGGCTGGCTGCTGGCGAACAGGGCTGTCTGCTATGGCTCTGGGGACAAAAGGTGTGGGTGAGGAATGCTGGCGGCCTCTTTGTAGAAGTAGTATTATTATTTCCGATCTGTGCACAGTCTGGTTTACAAAAAGAATTGCGGCTTTTTAATTGAGAAATAGAATGACAGAAATAAATTACTTTAAAAGGATGTTCTATTTAGGGATGGAGGGGAAGTAATTGTAGCAAGCTATACTGAAAATGTCATGCAATCTATGGTTAAATTATTTTGTTCTTTCCTGGCTGTAGTTTTTACGAAATTGGTGAGTCAAGCAATTGTCTGTTATGTTTTTGTTGTCTTAAATATTTTTCTTACCCTACATGGACTATATGCATCAGTCTAGATTACATCTGAATGACAGAAATACATAGATAGCAGGAGGAGGAAGAGTAATGACTTTATTTAGAATTAACTGTCAGTAAGTGTTTATTAAGTGCATCTGTCATGTCTTATTCTGGATTTGTGTTGCTAGTCTCCTAGCTGGGAATTAATTTTTTCATACCTGATGACGTTGAGTATTTTAATGTTATTATTTGCATTCAGCAGTCTATGTAAGCAGCGGGGGACTTAAGTTCAGGAATATCAGAAGTACTTACTGCCTTCTTCTTTAGTCGTTTAGCAAAAGCACGTCTATGTCCTATTTTTAACACATTTTTAGATGAAATGTTTTATGTATTGTCAAGAATATTTTTTTTTTTCAAAAAATTAAATGTCATATATAGGACTGTGCTTGTAAAACAGGTCATGCAATTAACGTATCAGATGAAAAAATTGGGCTAAGAAGGACTGTGGGTGAAGATATGTACAAATATGGATAAATCAAGAAGGCTCATGTCAGATAATTCAAGATAATGGTATCTTGTGCGTGTGCAAACAGGTAAAGTGGATTCAGGAAGATTTGAGAGAAATTATTTCCTTTTGCAGCCTAAATTTAAATGTCTAAATGAGTTCTTATAGCACTGGGACTTGTAAATGGCTTTACTTTCAGGTGTCAGGCAGAGAAGAATACCTGATTTTTATTGCTGTTTGTTTGTTTGTTAGCAAGGATGAGTGTTGCCTAGCATGTAGGAGAGAGATGGTAGCATTTGGATGAATTGAGGGCTCCCACTGAAATGCCTTGGGAATATGCAGGACTCGTGCTCTTTGACATGTTCTGAAGCAATGGTAGCTAAGAAAGAGAGAAATTAAGATCTTCCCCTTGTGATGTACACTGACTATGCATGTATTGTGGTGTTTTACAGTGAAACATTACTTTTGATTAACAAGCAGTTCTAAGACCAAAGGCAGACTATTCATTATTTAAGTACAAAGTGAAAAACTATAAAAAATACAGTGGGGCACCCCATAAAGCAGCACGCTGTGTTGCTGACCTTAGTGAGTGTTCCTGTCGTCTTTTCTGTGCGTATGTGTGGCAACCAAGTCATTTTATGGATCAGTCTTTGTGGTTCTGATAATTCAGTTTTGCTTACTGGAGGGGAACCAATCTTAGAAGAATAAAAGCTTTAGTAGATCATTGCTCTTATTGAAAGTTTAACCATTTGTATTTTTTTTTGTTGGAGAATTAGGGAACAATTTTTAGCTCCTCACAAGCCAGTCAAGCACATCTGAGAACCGGGCTGTGTGGCAAGATGCAATATGTGATCAGTCCTGGATGACCGCTTTTGTTCTCTGTTAATATGTTGTAATAGAGTATATGACTGATTTGAGCAACTGTTTGATTAGAAATGGAAATGAATTGAAGGCATAGCTCCAAATACTTGATTAACCTAGACCTTGAAATGGCTTTGTTTTGGAGGCAGGAAATCAGGCAGCAGGCTCTGGTAGGACATAGTAGGAGGCTGCTGGAATTGGAGACCTGCTCCTGTGTCTTGGGCCTGGAGTATTTGATTTACAGAGTGTTTGCATGTGGTTTAGTTTTGGTGTGTGAATTCTAGAAGTTAAAACCATATGAAGATTGTGCTGGTGTGTTGCAGCAGGGACAGAGTGTGGGTGACGCTGGCCCAAGGGCCAAGCTAGGAGCGGCAGGCCAGCCTGGTGCTGGGGCATCCCTGCCTGCAGTGCCAATGTGTTCCTCACATGAGTCTCTTTGGAGGTGTGGCTACATCCTAAAAGGGGTGCGTGAGAACCAAAAATGCAACAAAACCAGTTTCAGAGAAACCTTATGCTATGATCTGGGGCTCAACAGTCAGATTGATCTTTTCTCCTCCATGTATCTATGGATTTTTCAGACATTTTGATTAGCAAGTAAAAATGTGCTTACTTCCTTGCAACCTAATGAGCAGGTGTCTTCGACATCAGGGATTGTTTGAAGATAACCATCAGAAAGGTGGTATCTCTCAAGAAGCAGCTAAATTAATACGTTCAGGTTTTTTGTCAAATCCTGCTAGTTGATAGCAGTCATATTGATCCATCGGAAGCTATTCAGACACAAATTTTAGATGGACCACTAAATACCCAAGAATCTTCCTTATCCCGTTGGCACAGCGATGCACACGCTGCAGAGCTTCCCCATACTGGTCTGGCCCTCTTAGGCAAAGATTGATGAGGAAGAGATGCCTGATGGATTATCTCACGTTCTGCAGGGCTCTTTGCTCCAGGCAAAAACATGTAGTCAGCTACATGTCATTAGACTGATAATCAAACTGAATAGCTAGAATAGGGGTGGCCCCCAAAGCGGGACCTGGTCCTGTACAACCCTGCACTCATCCATGTCCTGAGCAAATGTGTTGCCTGCACTTCTAGGATCCTTTTGTCACAATGGGCCTGTTTCTGCTCCCCGGTTACTCTGTTATGGGGAACGCACCCAGGTCTTGATTTTAGTGGGTTTTCATGCTCAGTAAGCATTTGTGTGCTGTGAATGACTCTGTATGGTTTCTGAACTGAGGTACACTGAGCTGGATCTGCTGCTGCAGTTGGGCCCAGTTTATGCATTTGCAGTGCTACTGCCTTGTTCTCTAGAGCTCTTTGCAGCTTGTTTTAGGGGCTAGCATGGTCTGTGAACTTTCAGGAGGCTCAGCAGCATATGAACGGTCTTGGAGTAGGAAAGATGTTGTAGTATGGCACTGCCATTTTGTGTGTCATTGCTTGGGGCACTGCAGTCGAGTGTCCTGTGAAGAGACCCATTCCTAGCTGAGGTTGTCTCCAGCAGCCCCTCCTCGTCATGCAGCCTCCCATAGCAGAAGTGTGCTGGCAGCGTGGTTAAGAGGTACTGGCAGCTGGTCACTCCGGGATGGATTGTGTTAAGCATATTCACACTGTCATTATTCCCTTAGAATTTCTCTCTGGCACAAATGCTTTCCTTTGTTCCTAGTCTCTTACAGTGCTGTAATTATTAACAGCATCTGCTGATAATGCTGCACCCAGAGAAGGATGCAAGCCTTCCTCCCCTCCATTGTTCCCTCTTCCCCTCTCCCCTCCATTGTTCCCTCTTCCCCTCTCCCCTCCCAGACGTAGTGGAGGCATTGCTAACATACCTGTTATTAGAGGCTGCCAGATCGGCATTCGTAGCGCAGTATACCACAAGAATTCAGGGCTCTGTTTGGGGCTCAGGAGCGGTTGGTATTGTCTACAGGTGGAAAAGCCATGGCTGCCTTACCTCTCCAAATCATTTTTGTAATGTTGAAATACTTCTCTTAAAGATAGGGCAAGTATCCTCCATTGGCTTAATTTTTGGTTCCAGCCCATTTTTACTTCCTGTGGCAGTACAAAATGTTGCTAACTTTTGTCTTCCCTTCTTGCATCCTGTTTCTGCAGGTCTTGATGATTGCCTACAGCAATATATAAAGAACTTTGAGAGAGAGAAGATTAGTGGCGACCAACTACTACGCATTACTCATCAAGAACTGGAAGATCTTGGAGTCACACGAATTGGCCATCAGGAGCTTATCTTGGAAGCAGTAGACTTGCTCTGTGCACTGGTAAACTTCTTGGGGCAAAATGGAGGGGGGTGTGAACCATGTTTCACAGTTTGTGTATTCAAATTTATAGTCCTAAAGGCTATCTAAGTAGTTCAAGAAACTCCTGAACATGTAATGTGTGAGCAATTTAGTGTTTTAAACCACAGGCAAGGTAAAGAGCAATATCTACTGGTAGGATGGTGCTTGTTAAATAAATTGGTATCAGAGATTTAAGGCTTGCATATTTGTCTTTATAGAAGAAAAGTTTATCTGAAATCACAAAAGAACTAGACTGGGTTTGGTTTGGAATGTAAAACAGTTATATATATAAATGCAGTAATTGAGTGCCGGTTGCCCTTTACAAACAAAATGTCCTGATATTAACCATGTCATTTTTCACTGATCCTTTCATGCAAGTTATGTTTTAGATGATTATTTGAGCTTGCTGAAACATAGCTGCTTGTATTTCACAATAGAAAGGATTAAATACTGAAATAATTATCTTATGTGTAAATAATACATACATCTTTGATGGAGCGTACAGAGGGATTTTGATAATGGTCTTTTCAGTCAGGTCACATCATGCATAACTGGGATTATCCCCTTGGTGAGGGGTGTGATGCTGACTTCACCCTTCTTACAAATTTTTTGTATGTGCCTGTAAAGATTAGTTAGTATAGATCGGGCACACTGTCTGCATTCTCCACTGTAGGAAGGATTGTGAACAGCTCTGCTAAGATGTACTTGACTACCTAAAGTGGTGTTTTGTGGATTTTTAATGCATACTACTTTTCCAAGCCTCAGAAGCAGCTTAAAGAGAGCGGAATCCCAGTAGAGGCAATCAAAGAGGGTAGGCTGAAAGGCTCTTCGGAAAGGCTTGTGGATTCTCAGTATGCAGCAGCTTTTCTGAATATCCTGTTGTTGCATCTTTAAGACATAGATGTGAGGGGTAATGAAGAGAAGGCAATGAGAAAAAGAAAAAAAGAAATGCAAAAGAAAAAGTAAACAAGGGGAGAAAAGCTTTTCCATACAGGAAGACTTTTGGTTTTAAACACATTTTAGATTCTCTTCTTTAGAGTAGTATTTCTAATAGTGTTGCAAAGTCGCTTAGTGCAATATGTAAACTCATTTTTTTTTTTTAATAATGGAAAGGATACAATTCTAAAAATACACCGCTACTGATATAGAAGGGAACATAGAGTGAGTTATTCACAAAGTACTTTTCTCAAGTACAGCACAAAAGGAAACAAGAAAGTAAATACTTTAATTAACTGAGACGAAACTTAAGTTAGGGTGAACGCTGATGACCATTCCTTCCAGGCTCACAGGGAGGTGGATTGTGACTCTTTCAAAAATAACCTATTTTCACAGAAAAAACCTTGCTTATTATCTCAAATTTGTTTTTTCCTGGGGTATGTGTTTATAGATGTTATCTTTAGGCAAACAAACACAACTTGTCTTTGTAGCTCCCTTATCTTAGGCAAAAGTGTATGGAACTAAGTTGAATATAAAATAAGGAATTTATAGCGGAGGCTAACACTGCATCATTAATTCATACATCAGGTCTCTGCCTTCCTGGTCCTTGTTGCACATATAGCATTGTCTGCTTTTCTGCGTTTGTCTTAAAGAAAACTTCATCACTGAAACACAATAGCACGTGTTCAGATCACAGCTTCTGATTTAAGCTGAGGTTTTTGCAGTCTCACAATTGGCTCCTGATGGCTCCTTAGGGATCAAAAATGTGATTGTTATATTGATTTTAGTGGACTTAATTTGAATTTATTGTTCACCAATCAGATAAACCTCTTAGGAAATTTAATTCAGAGACAGTCCTTTTGGCTATAATCCTTTTGGTCCTATACTTACAGGCTTTCATATTTATTTTTTTTTTAATTGCATCAGTAAGTATCTGTCCTGGTTAGTGCTTGCTCATTCTTCCGATTAGCCTCCAATGTTGACTGTATGTTTAGGAGAACTTTAAGCTTATGACTCTCCAAAGTAGGATAACCGCTGGTGTAGGTAGTCACTGTGCAAGGTTTTTATAATGAAAATTATCTGATTGTTTTTTCTGTTTCACTGGAGTGTGACAGGGGTTTCATGATAGAATTTGGCGTGAGTTACAAGTGTATGATCCAACTGAGTTAATGTCTATTTGGATGCTGGAGATCATGGGTGGCATGATGGGGTAGGAACAGTAATGTTAATTTTGCCTTGCAAGCATAATCTCTGATCGATTTTAAACTAATCATTAAAAAACGAAAGGATTGTCACTTTCGATTCTGCTCCCCATTCTCTGCGAGTTAATGAGTGACCACCTAAACAGTTTTTGCCATTAAGGACAACTGGGGGAGACAGAACCACCTCCCACTGTTCTTTCCTGCTCCCACTCTGCAGGCGAGAGTTTCCAAGGCAGAGTTGCTATCAATGAAGAAGGCTTCTGCAGTGTTGATAGCTGATGTGTTTTAAGAGCTGCTTTCTTCCTGCCCCCCTTCTCAGCATTTTTTGGGGGTAAACTTCCACTTGCAGTTTCTGCCCTGTCAGCTGTGGATATGGCAAACGGCAAACCAGCTGCTCGTGTTGTGTGCCTGTAGTTCAGCGGGCAACATTTTCTTCCTGGAGGAAAGTGGAGAGCCTGAACAAGCGTATTTGTCCAGTACGGAGAGAGCATGGGACCTCCTTAACCCAGGCAGAGGCTATTGAACAGTGCTAAATAGACAAACTGCTTGCCGCAATAATATTTGAGAACCAGCTATGATTGACAGCACTATTTAAAAGATGTTCTTTTATTGATTTTTGACAGAAGGTGAGTGGGTGGCTATGGTCTCTCACGGTATTCCCCTCCTGTCATAAGCACTTGCAGCAAATGGATCCTCCAGTGTTTGTGAGCTGATCGGAGAACAAATGGTAGCCTCTGCTGTCCGTCTTGGTAGAGTCTCTCTTGGCTGCCAGCCTGCCATACTGTGCTCTTGACAGGAGGGCAAGCATCCTGGGGGTGAGATTCACAGGTTTTCTTTTCCTGTGGTGCTTCAGAGGAGGAGGAATAAAGATTTTTCCCAGCTGCTACGGCTGTTACAGGTCACGCTCGCTGGTAATGGTGGGGGCGTACATACAGCATACCATCACTAACGCTGAACGTGCTCCAGGAGAGAGCGGACAATGTAACTAATGTGGTTTGTCTCTTCCCTCTCTCCTTCAGTCTCTAAAGGTGGGAGCATGTTCAATAGATTATCTTGCCTCAGAGCAGTTTTGTGTTTTATAAAATTCATGTGTCAGAAAGGGCAAGATAAATGAAATGTTCTCTGTGCTTAAAAGAGAGAAGTAGTGAGGTCTGTGATGGTATTTCGTTGCTGCTATGAGTTTGTTGCATGGTTTTCGATCAGTCCTTGAGAAACCACCATGACAGATATATGCTCGTAGAGTTGTTCTGTTACCAGCAAGGCATGTCTCTTGTCCTTCCCTTTCTCTTCAGACTGGGACATGAAACTGAGATCATGCTGTTGGCACCAAAAGGTAGATTCCTGCTTTATGTGGGCGTGCATGTTTATTCATATTGACAAAATCTCAAAAAATAATGGACATCTCAAAACTGGTTGAAAAATGGTAAGCTGAGAAACTGCATGTCCAGCAGTAGAGATACAGGAGAAACTGTACTGAGTTAGGTACCATGATACTCTTTCTTCAGGCTACTCCCAGGTAATAAAACATACACTTGTTCATCAGTTATAAAAATTACCACCCATCTAACTTCAACATGATCCTTTTCAGTACGTGTGTGGTGGTGAAGCTAGTCTAAGACTGCTTTACATTTCATCAATAAACAAACAACAGTGTAGCAGACCTTCATCCACACATAAAATGTGATGAGCTTTGTTTCTTTGACAGTTGCTTTAAGATCTGGCTGTGAGTGAGCAATGCCAAAAGAAAGTAAATAGAGGAAAGATGAGTGTGATGTTTATGGAAAGAGAAATGCGTACTGAAGAACCGATTACTTAGATAATGCCATCAGATCATTGTTACCAGTATTCAGGTTTGGAGTGCATCTGGAGGTCGTGTAGCTCCTGAAATACCTAACTGTGCTGCAGAAAGCAAAAAAATGCACGTAATTATTTTTCCATCATCTGTTTGTCAAGAGATGGAGTTTGATTTATCAAAACTGGGTATGACTGTATTTTGCTGAGTGTCCATCGACTCTAGATTTTATGTCTTCTTGGCATCATATTTTTCCCAGAAAATGCTACCCTTTGCCTCACTGCCTGGAGAATACGAAGACCAAAGACTGCACAGCCAAAGATTTCTTCTTCCATCTTTAAGGAAACGATCTAGTACCTGACATATCACCACAATGCCTTGATGCATGAGGATTTTTTTTTTTTTTTTTTTTTCGCTTCTCCAGAATATCGTGTACACTTTGTTTGCATGAAGATTAAATTAGTTTTGTTTGATTTTGAACTTTTTCAAATATTTTTTAAAAAGAGACCTTAAAGTGGGAATATCTTCTCAGAACAAAATAAGAATATTTAGAAAGCTTCACAAATAACTTTTGGATGTTTTAAAGTTTTCCTTAAACAAAGAACTTAGTGAAATCCTTGTGAATTTGCAAAATACTTTTTCAGGGACTCTGCATTTGTGTATAACAGAGTTTGGTTAAAAAACAAAACAGTTTTTGCTTTGTACAGTGTACTGGTTTTGGGACTGGTTTCATGCCAGCTATTTAAATCTGCTTTGGCTGCACAGGAATTTATTATACACTGTATATTTGAATCTGTAAAGCTAGAAGATTGCAACAGATGAAATAGTAGTATTATTTGGCAGAGAAAACATTGGTGTGCACTAACAGCATGAAATTACTTATCATTTACCACTAACACAAAACATTTATATGCAAATGAATGTAAAAAATAGACCTACTTTACCCATGAATGATTCGATTCCTCTTAAGAATTATGCCTTTTATCTTAATTTCATCTTTGTGCCATTTCTTGCACAGAAATCCTTTCCTTTGCCCTTATCACTAGTCAGAT